GAGTGGTCGGGGGCAGACAAGACACGGGGGGGACCAGCGCAACCCCCCTCTTCTGGCAGCGCCCCAGCAAACGTCCAGTTGAGAAGCCGGGGTTCACTTCCACCCACAGCTCCGCGGCACAGAAGCGCCCCTGCTAAGGTCCTCACTCCAGAACCCGCGCGGAGAGTACAGCCGAAGAACCCACAGCTACGAATCCCCAACCTAGTCCCGGGGAAGGAGGCGGCGGGGCTGACCGAGAAGCGTGGCCAGCCCCGGGGACCCCATGCCCACGGACTCCGCGAATCTGGCCGACATCCCGGGGCCCTCAGCAGCCAATTCCACTCACTTCTCGGAGGGTCCGGCCCAGCATAGTCTTCGTGTCCAGCCTGCCACCACAGGGGCCAGGTGACAGGGAGGAAAAACAAAGGTCAACAACTGCTACGAGGAGTACATGGGCGCAGCCATTTTGGCTCGTCACTGGACCTTTCAACACCGAGTCCTCCCATTGGTCCGATTGCAACCCGAGGAAATAATCTCTGCACGCGATTGGTTGGCGCCGCAAGGCACGTCCCGCGGCCCCGGAGAACGGCTGGAAAGGAAACTCCGGGCTGGGGTCGCGGTGGGAATCTGGAAGCGTCTGATTCTCTGTGGCGTCGGGTTCGCGAGCGGAGTCCGTCGGTCCCGCCAGAGCTCCCGAGACGGGGGAGAGTTCTAAGGGTTTTGACTTTGGTCTGTTTTTAAGGGGAGGGGGTGTGAGCGGGGAAGAGAATGGACAGGGTACTGACTGGAACGTTAATTGGAGCATTTCCTAAGCGAAGAGCCATCTAATTCCATATTCTTCCCCCTTCATTTGCTCCATTAGGCCTAACTTCATTTCTGAATCCTCCGTGGTGAGATCGGACAGTGCGTTTGGCCTGTTTCAGGGGTGACAGGTTAATCCCATCCCCGTGCATTTTAATTAGGGCACGCCACTCAACCACGTGTTTGCGATGGAATTTCTGAAGACTTGTGTGCTTCGGAGAAAGGCGTGGACCACGGTTTGCTTCTGGAGAAGCCAAGTTATACAAAAGCTTTCCGTTAGAAAGATCGGTACTACCTCTCCGAGGAGCACTGTCATGCCCGCGTGGGTGATAGACAAATACGGGAAGAATGAAGTGCTTCGATTTACTCAGAACATGAGGATGCCCATCATACACTATCCGAACGAAGTCATTATCAAAGTGCACGCTACGAGTGTAAATCCCATAGATGTTAATATGAGAAGTAAGTTTGGAAGACATTCCTCCTCATTA